TCACTTTGAGCCACTAAAAATGAGGTGCATCAGATCCAGAGAGCTGCTGAGCAGAGGTGCTTGCTTAGGAACTCATTTCAAGATCAAACAAACACACACACAAAAAACTCTTCTTGGCTTCAAGCCATCTGTTATCCACCAATCTTTTTTCCCTCTGCTTCACCCTGTCAACATTTTCTTTCAACTTTCATTGACTTGCCATCCTCCTGCTTCTCCACACAGTCTCCAGACCCATTTTTCTCTGATCTGCCATCCGTTGCTGGGTTTTCCCTCCTCAGTCCTGCCCCTCCTTTCCCTTACATTCCCTCTCTCTCTCTCTCTGCCTGGATCTTCCCCCTTCCACAGTTGTCCTCACATATTAGGTTCCCCTGTCCTGAGACGCAGAATTAGCCAGGAATTTTTGTCCACTTGTTTCCTTCAATCCTTGGAAGGAGGTGACAGCATGAAGCGAAAGCACAAGAAAAACACAAGCAGCAGACCCAGAAAGGGAGCAATCTAAAAAAAAAAAACAGGAGGATACCCAGAGAAAAAAGAAGATAAAGAAGACGAACATGCAGATGCTTGCAGTTTGATGCAGCTGCACTGAAGGCATGTGGCTGCCTGCACCCTGCTTTTCCCTCCACACTCTCCATCTGACTGGTGGAAGCTCTGCACGCATGCCGCTGAGTGCTACTTGATTTATCTCTCCACAATACTGTGAGAATATTGTTTTTATCCTACCCATAGAGGGCACAACCTATGTGACTTTAGCAACATCTGGACTGCTGAACAAAGGACCTGGATTATCTTGAACACTGTGAAGAGGAGAGACAACCAATGTGGGGCCCAGGTAAGACTATCAATGTACACCGAGAAATGAAAAAAAAAGACATCTGCACCTCGGAGACTCGTCCTTTCGTCACCTTAAAGTGAACAGAGAACGATCCTCTGCTAATTACAAAATTCTGAGCCGAAACAAAGTGAGCGATGGCTGTTTGATGAAAGCTCTTAGTGAATGCATCTGACCTGATCTGACCCTGACCTTTAATATTCACCTCTGGTGTGATGCAGCAAAGGAATGATGCAAGAATTGAAAAAAGAGGATTGAAAGATGAAGGGAGAATAAGCTATATTAGTTGTTTGGCTTTGCATTTTCTGTAAATTTCCTGACATATAAATTGTTCTTCAATTCACTTGACAGCAGAAAATGTGTCTTTGTGCACGCATGCAAAACCCCAGGTGGCTAAAACAAGATGACAATAAAATTACACATCGAGGATTGGATTTTGCAAAGACATGAAGCTGTGAAAAATGTTAGGCTTAACACAAAAACTTGTGTATTTCTATTTTAAAAGTGCAAATGCAACAATGCACCTTGATTTACAATTGTAAATAGAAGTAGAATACGACGTAAGAAAGAAATCCACCATTGTTATTCACATCACACGTGGTACATGAGGTGGAACGAAATTGTGTACTCTGGGTTTTAGGTACACCCAAAAATATCAATAATATAAAGTGTATTAAAAAAGAAACATTATACAAGGATCTAAGATATACACTAAACAATAATAATATAATATAATAAAGTGTATTAAACAGCAGCCTGAACAAGTCTGATGTAAGATAAGTCAAGATAAGATAACATAAGTCAAGATAAGATAACATAGTCAAGATAAGATAACATAAGTCAAGATAAGTCAAGTCAAGTCAAGTCAAGTCAAGATAAGATAAGATAAGATAAGATAAGATAAGATAAGATAAGATAAGATAACAGATGGTATGGATATATTAAAACTGCAATTTTTTGTAGGGGTGAAAATCTATTTTGTTATTTTGAAAGTAAAAGCATTTAAACTCAGACACATAGTATTTTATATATATATATATATATATATATATATAT